ACCGATTGGTTTATCTTTTAAACCCAGTTGTGAAAGCATGTTCATGAATGATTTGTCTTCCTCTGGCTGGCGAGCACGATGGCGTTCTTCGTTCGAAACCACTATACAAAAAAGTTTAGTCATACATATAACTGCAAGACACTTAACAACGACAGGGGGAATGCAGTGAAAACACACCCTGACCCTGATAGGGTGTGGTAGGGATAGGGTTATGGTCAGGTTCAGAAGCTCCAGGTTTAGCGAGTCCTGCACTTGCATCTTATACTGTAAGTTTTATCATTCATCTAATACCTTTCTCCTCTTGCCGCGATATCTGACTGTCTCTAGATGCTTCAGTTCCTCTGCTTTGTGCAATGTTTTGTAAAAGCGCTGCCTGAGAAGACAGCATCTGCTGCGCTTTGAAAGCTGGACTCTAAAAAGGATAAAGAAATATTGTGGATCATTTCGTTTTCTCAGAGTTCATTATTATTTTCAAATAGAATTATAAATAGAATTATAAACAAGTTTGCAAACTTTCAATGTCCAATAAACCTAGAGAATAACCAGGTAAAGGTCTGAGAAAGGTCTGGAGTTTTTATCCATCATAGGCACCTTGTAACATTTTGAATGAAATTCAATTTGTAAACGATGTAAACCTGACAAGATGTGCATACACGCATTTCTGTCTGCTGTGACCTATGTAAATACGCTTTATCGCTTCCCTGCATATATTAAACCACCATCGGCAAACTGTTTGTCAGGTTGAGCTCGGTTTTCTGTGCTGCCGAATACCGTACAAGACCAGTCAAAGCCTTTATGGCATACTAGATTATGGCAAAGAACCAGGAAGGAGACTGAACGATATTAACTCGAACGGTCCGTGCCACTGTAGGTTTCGACGATAACAAGACAGCGAGATACACGGCTAATCTGAAAAACACTAGTAGGGTAATTCCATGGTGACTCGTGTTACATTCTGAACCAAATTATCAGAGTAATTTTGATCTGGTGTAATAACTAATACATTTTTTCTGTCACATTTTATATAAATAATGGTAAGCTACTGATTCACAGTAAAAATTAAACATTTGATTATAACATATGGTAAGATTGGTGGCCGTAAATTGGTATGTGACTCATGTTACATTGTTACGACAAAGTGACATGAGGTAACAACAACCTAACTATTTTGAATTTCTCCGGGAACCTTAGGAAGGAGAAACATACAATGTCTGTCAAGTAACAGACTATATGTTAGGCAAACTACCAACACAAAGAAATTTTATATTTTGGATTACAATAGTAAAGATTGCTACAAAATACACGTGACTCCTGTTACGTCACTCATGTTACATATAAAGTACATCTTTATATTTCAGTTCAGAATTGTTTCCAATAGCTTCTGAAAATTCTTGACAATTTTTTTCTTCCAAAAATGTCATCACTACCATGGAATTACCCACTAGGCGCATCAGGAAGTTTGTAGCCAAAGTCTTAAGATCTCCATGCTTACCAGTAAATATATCGGGTAGTTGTATCCGCAAGTGTCTGAACGATATTAATCAAGGGTAATCTAAAACCTCGGCTACATACAGTAGAATACCTGTTGATAGTTTTCTATGGACTGTAACATCTTTTGTGCATCACTATTAAGTGGTCTGCCCATTGAACCAAGATAACGTCTAACACTTGACAGATTAACGGGACCTCCTGACTGAATTAATAACAGTATGAAAGATGAACAATAATGGTAATGGCCTCTGGGAGTACTATATATACTACTACTTTCAACAAACAACATAATTCCAATGAGCTTTTTTCATGTATTACTTTAATGTTCATCGTACGTGCCTGCATACAATTGTGGAAAAAACATTGGAATTCTAAGGCTAAGCAGTTACTGTTTCGTTCGATGGTAGTTCCGGCGGTATTTGGAAACAGTTACGGACTGTAACTGATCCATTATTATGCAACAAATGTTTCCGTCAAAGTAACGAGATTGCCATTGCATTTAAGAATTTTGTTGTAAATGAAAATACATTTGCAATTTGTATCCAAAAGTAAAACGGTCTCATTAGCGCGCACCTGCTCCTCTTGTATAGATGAAATTGGCTTGCACCGTTCAACTTTCAGTACAACAGCTTGCAGTTTCATGTGTTCTTTACATGGATGAGACAAAAACTAATAATTAAAAATACAAATAACATTAACCCATGGTGTCCTGGTAATGTACAGGCTCTACGAGTAAAATGTGACACTTTTTGAGAAAATAATTTACATAAATAGCGCAGTTGATACCTGAATGGGATAGTATACAGACAGTACAGTACATACTTTTATCGTTGCGTTTGATTTTGTTTCAATGTAACCAGAGAGATCAAATTGAGCTTCAAACAGTGACGACTTCCTACGAAACATTAAACGACAGTAAGTTTTACATCGCGATTCAGTAATAACCATTCGTGGGCAGACACTTCAAATATGGCACATTGTGGCAGACACTTCAAATATTGGGGTGCAAATTTAACTCTGATTCTCATGTCACTGAAAATGTTAGTTCCTTGCATTAACTTTTTTGACTTAAATACCATGCAAATTGTCATAAATATAGCCTATATGCAGGTTTACATTGCTGTATAGTCATTGTTACACTTACAGATTTGATAACATTTTAACCCTTTAAGTGGCAATGCACCCCACTTTATTATTTTACTCTGTCTAACACCAGACGATTTTATTCATCAGGGGGGAGTGCTGCCACTCGATGGGTTAAACAAAGACTTTCTGAACGTGTTGAGGGCAATAGCCCTCCCCCCTATTGTTTGGATGTTAGGGTTTCACTTTGGATAAGGGTTCATCGTTCCATTTAGTCAACGCTCCCCGATCCATCATTATCATACCTGAGGTTCAACAATATTTAACATTTAAGAGTGTTTTAATGGGAGAGGGTACCCTCTGTATGCTTGTAAAAATATTGATAATTATGGATGCAATCCCTTACCCACCTTTTATTGTTCAGTGTAAGCATGATTCCTCTTGTACTTTTCTCGTATCCACCATTTACATATAGTTCAAGATTTCTTGCCTCGGACAAGAGTACGATCTTTGTGATACAAAATGACTCATGAGGAGGATGAACAATAAACTTCATTTCATATGGAACATTCGGATCATCGCTTGGTTGACTCAAAGTTAAGCCTGGGCTTGCTTGATGCACACAGCCAATCAAAATTTGTTCAAGAGATCTACAATTTATTACTTTGAGTTAATGGCAAACAACTGGGCAGAGATGTGATGCAGTGAATGATTACTGCATGGTTGTGCATGTGGTAATTTACCTCAAGTGGCACCTTTGTAGGACTTTATAGTGAAGGCTAGTGAATGTTGAGACCTGTATAGAAGATCCCCCCCCCCCCTCCCCTAGAATAACATTGCTATTATAGGAGTCCCAGGGTGGTGGTCCCAGGTACAACTACTTCATTATTCATCTTACTAGTTTAATATGCAATACACAATTTCCCAAATTTGTGTGGCTGCACGTGGACAGTAGCATGAGGTCAAGATATTAGTATGGACGATGTCAGCCCAGAGTTCATTCAAACATAATTGTTACATGTGTACTTAAACCTTGGCTAGCTGCCTAGCTCAAGCTAATCTGTGAAATATCTAATAATTCATTCATTTTTACATGGATATCACCATGGCTATATCACATCGCTTTGTCTAAGGTGCGTGTGTG